GCAGGACAAGCAAGAGATTGCTAAATTACATAGAAGTCCATGGTAAAGAAGAGATCGATTATTTAAAGAGATCTCATTTTATTCTTACAGAAAGTTAAGACTTGCATTTTAGAAGTCAGAGACAAGGAAAAATATTATTGATACCAGGTTTTAGCCTTGAATCTCTATCTACTGTATGTGGGAATTGTTTGCAAAGTACAGTACACAATTCTTTTTCTTGCATATGTTTATCATTTCTGTTTGGCCATTTACGTTGATCATTTTTTTTTTTTATTCTTCATACTGCATAGGGTGCGATGAATCGCAATTAATTTGAAACCAATTTGCAAAATTCGTGCCAAAATCTCTGACCTGAAAAAAAATATCCAACTTAAGTATAGTCACAGTTGAATTTTTTTTGTCCAAATTTTGCATTTTGGTTTTCAGCTCTCTGCAATTTACAGTTCAGTAAATAAACACATAGGTATTAAATTTAAATTACTGCTTCTTTTTATTGGGGAATACAATGATTGACATTACAAAATATCCAAGAGCCAGCAACAATAGTGATTATGCATACATAATAAAATGAGGAAAACACTGGTCAAAGGCACATTTATCTTATTATTATTATTTTACTGTTTATATAGCACCATCAGATTCCGTAGCGCTGTACAATGGATGGACTAACAGACATGTCATTGTAACCAGACAACTGGACAGGAACAGAGAGGTGGAGGGCCCTGCTCAATGAGCTTACATTCTAGAGGGAGTGGGGTATAGCGACACAAAGGGTAAAAGTAGATGAAAGTGAAAGTATTTCCATCCTTTGGTTTCCCAGATGGTCTGAATGTTGATGAACCTGGTCTTGGGAAGCCTCCCTCACCAGGGTTCTTGGGTACCTAGGTCCTGGGTGCCCAGTCCCCCGATTCTCCTAATTGCATAATGGCTTCAGTAACAAATTGCAATGTGTTTCCGGCTTGATTTATAAGCAGTGTCAATATCACCTGCTTATATGCTGGAGGGGCAGTTTTTATGATCTTATTTCTCATTTGAACTGTCACAGGCATTTCCATTAGTCTATCCAGTTGTTGTGAATTCTGGATAGTCTGTCTGACCATCTCCTGTTTCAGTTTTCTTACTGCATCTGTCAGCCCGTACCATGGAATGTCATTATCTGGTCAGTCACTGACAGATGGATACCGCAATTCTAACCCTATCTGGTCAAGCTCCAGGAGAGTGAGTGAAGCCGGATTCCCATCTACTGCGGGAGGTCCGTTTAACAACATCCTCCTTACATTCTCATCCTCTGAGATAGTAGCCAACTTTGGTGAGTCTATGGCATCAAGATTAATGCCTCCTACTCCTGTTTCAGCTAGTCTGACAACCCATTCATCCAGCAGTTCCTTTGATCGCTGTCTGATGTTTGAAAGAATTTCAGCCATCTCTTGCTGTGTATAGTCTTCCATAGAGGTCCTGCTAACTTGCCCCAGGTCAGTGTACTCCAACTTTCTTCTGACCAGAAGCAATGCATTTACCCCTTAAGACTCATCATATGAGCTCCAGATGTTGCCATCCTAAATTTCAGCATCCAAATCGGGTCCTACT